AGACAACAGCAGTATGCCAGAGAAGAGGCATCCCTAACTGAAGGACTGCTGCATCCTGAGTTGTTTCTGATCCTGAATTGTACACTGTTCACCGTAACCATGATTACCGTAAATTCTGCATGGCCATTGGAACAGATTATCAAACACAGATGTGAAACAGAAGTACTGTGGGAGGGATGGTTAGTGTCAGAATAAGGCAAAGAAAGTTGGAGGGTGAAGGCATGTCTAACCTTTACCCCATAGGAATTGACCTTGGGCTGATTTTGAGTTTGGTTCATCTTTCACTTTGTGAAGCCAAAGGAAGTCAAACATGGCCTCCCTAGTGTTTTTGCAGTTGCAGTTACCAGTGAGCACCAGTGATGTGTGACACCCATTTTTATTAACAGTAGCTTCATCTGATGTTTTTTATTTCTTGATACGTGCAAGGATAATCTGAAAGGTATGGACTTCCTTTGAATCTAGCTGTCAACTTTCAGCTCAATGATTACATTTCAGATCTACAGTAAAACTCTAGCATATATGTTGTTGTTGTTGTTAAGTGCCGTCGAGTCGGATCCGACCCATAGTGATCCTATACAGGGTTTCCAAGGAGCGACTGGTGAGCTTGAACCGCCAACCTTGTATAGGGTTGCTATACAACGGCTTTGCAGTCTGGCAAATTAACCCACAGAGCCACACCAGGACTCCATATATGTAGATAATGCTCGCTAATTTTATTTGCTATAAAGAAATAATAATGAAATTGCAACTCTGCTAATCATGCGCTCTCGTCACACGATGAAAGGTAAAACTTAAAATGCCATGTGTACCATGCAACTTAGTATTTCTAAACCTCAAACTGAAACCATCCGAACTACCAAAAAAATTTAAACACACAACATGGTAGTACAATGTCTACTAAAATTTCTACTAATTTGAAGGCACTTAATATTTATACACCATGATAGGCAACAACAGAAATGAAGGCACCTGTACACTAAAAACCAATGTTCACAACTGCAATCCCCATAATTGCTCAATATTTGAAATAATTCAAACATCCATCCTAAAATGTTAAAATACATTGCAGTATATCTATTCAATGGAATACTAAGTAGCAATAGAAATGAATAAACTGCAGGTACACAACATAACACCCATAAAAATCACACCCATAATGATTAGCAAAAGTCAAGAACAAAAGAGTATGTGCTGTGTGATTCTGTTTAAAGAAAATGTTCAAAACAATCAGAAATAATCTATAATGCTAAATGTCAAAATAATGGTTAACTTCTAAAAGGAAGGCGGAGTTAGTGATAAAACGAGGAGCCTTCCGGAGCACTAGTAGCATTCCATTTCTATATATGGGTGATTATTACATAGGCATGCTCACTGATGAAGGTGAAAGGCTACATCCATAGGGACTGAATGCCCTCCAATGTAATAAAAACAAAAATTCTCACAACTGGAGTAATAAATAGCATCATGATAAACGGAGAAAAAGCTGAAGTTGACAAAGACTTCATTCTGCTTGCATCCACCATCAACATTCATAGAAGCAGCAGCCAAGATAGCAAATGACATATTATTGCATTAGGCAAATCTGCTGTAAAGAATCTCTATGAAGTGTTCAAGATCAAAGATATGTTTGACCAGGCAAAGCAGGTTCAGGGCAGAGCTCCAAAACTCTGAACCATATTATCTAGGAATATTTTTAAAGTTTGAAGGCTTATAGCTAGTGAAACTTGTAGCAGAAGTAAGAAATCTCGTAGTTTAGAATTTGCCGGCCCGGAGCCAACAACTTGGGCAAGCCCAAACAGCAAGACCAAGTGGGGGAGCAAGCAGACCAGCCAAGGAACCTCAGAACAAAGGTGAACAATATACATTGATTTTTTTGTTGTTGTTGTTATCTGTTCATTGACCCCCCACTGTTTGTGCACCTCCATTCTGGTGACTACAGGGGGTGTCTGATGGAGTGGACACACCCCACCTCCACCACTGGTGGGTTCTTCTGCCACGCATGCACACAGATACTCTCAGTGGTTAAAGCTACAAGCAGCTCAAAACGGCCACAGCTGGCCCGGAACTGTTTACTAATAGGGAAAAGGATAGAACAAAGCGTGTGGACAGGGAGAGAGAGTTTAAAAACAAAACAGGCTGAACATTAAATCCTGAAAAACAGCATAACAACTTTATCAGGCAGCCTTGAAGGCAAGAAGCTGAAAGAGGATATTAAAATCATACCCATATTAGGCTACAGATTTTTTTCTTCTTCTTCTCTCCCTCCTCTCCCTTTTCTGCGATTATAGACTACAGTATCCAATCTTGTTTCTTCCTTCTTGTTGTTTTTTGGGTTTTTTTTTTTTTACCTTTGGGGTATTCTTCCTCTCCCTATATTACCCAAGAAGAAACAGCAATTGCTGATATATAGTCAAACTACATCACACCATATAAAACCCAATAATCCAGGCAAGAACTAGTACCAACTGCCATACACCAGGGAAACAGACAACACCTGTGAAAGTTACTCTGAGTTAAGCAATAAGAAGAGTGAAAAGGGAAGTCCATATCCTGATCACATCTACCTGGAGGCAATCAGAAAGCATAAAAAAATACCAAAACACACACTCAATTAAATATTAAGGCCACATATAAACACTAAACATGTTCAAGAAGCAAAAGCAGATGACCACATCAGCACATGGCAAGAAACAAGACAAGATGTCTGAGACAAATGACCTACAGGTAGACCTGGACTATATTCTGGAAGGAGGGCAGGCCTTGGAAATGCCTGAAAAGGAATTCAGAAAAATGATTATAAAAATGTTTCAAAACAAAGATAACAGTTTGAGGACTGAGGTATGCCTGATGCAAGCCATGGTATTTTCAACAGCTTCATATGCATGTGAAAGGTGGACAATGAATAAGAAAGACCATAGAAGGATTGATATACTTGAGCCATGGTGTTGGAGAATAATATTGAAAGTACCATGGACTGCAAAAAGAACAAACAAATCTTTGTTGTAAAAAGTACAGTCAGGTTGCTCCTTAAAAAGCTAGGATGGTAAGACTTCATCTCTCATACTTCAGACATGTTATCAGCAGGGACCAGTCCCTGGAGAAGGACATTATGCTTGGTTAAATGGAGGGTCAGTGAAAAAGAATAAGAACCCAATGAGATGGATTGGCACAGTGGCAGCAGCAATGGTCTCAAATATTACAAGTGTGAGGATCACACAGGACCGAGCTGTCTTTTGTGTTATTGTGCATATGGTCATTAAGAGTCAAAACTGACTTCACAGCACCTACCATCCAAAATACATTGATACACAAACTTTCCATCCTTAAAGTATTAAAAAAACAAAAAAGAAAAGAAAAAGACGTTTCAGCAGACTACCTTGTCCAATGACAAGTTCTACTCTAAAACGTATAACAAGAGTTACAATATCATGGAGTACGCCACAGAGGCCCTCAGAATGACAAATCTTCAAGTTTGTGTCCACTCCTGTTTATAATGCAAGTAAAGCAGGCACTGGCATACATTTCTTGTGTGTGAGCTACTGCGATTAACTAAGAATGGCACAAATTCACTATTCGCAGTAGAGAGTTATTTTACATGTAAGAGATTTCGGATAAATATAATTTACACAAATAGCATGCACTATGCAGTTTTGGGTTTTTTTTTCTGCGAACTACACAATTCCCTTACATATTAGTTTCCTATGTGCACTAGCACATTATTTATGTGGATGTGCTCTATGCAGGGAACATATAGCACAGCACACGTACTCAGTAAATTCAAACTCCAAATGGTCTTGACATATGAGAATGGATTTAAGATTGGGGGGAAATGGAATTAAAAGACAATAAAATGTCTACAAAAATATTTTGAAGTTCCCTCATATATATGTAAGGAAATGTAAACACAACAACTAGAGAAAATTGCATGTTTTCACCATTAAATTTTCAATTTGAATAAAATACATTAAGAAAAAAAATCTAATCTCCCATTCCTTGAAAAACCAAAAGGCATTATGAAAAATGAATGAATATTCATTATTTCTGAAGCAGACAAATTTGCAGTTTAGAGACAGTTTCTATGGGTAAGTTTCTCCTTAAAAAAAAACTTAATGAAGCAAATAAAGAGACACTCTATCCACTTTATTTTTGACCTTACTTCTACCAAAGACTGCTACTGTTTAGTGCCCTTAAGTCAGTTCAGACTCATAATGACCTGGTACAGGATTTCCTAGGAGTAAATGATGGAACCACCAACATTGCAGTTAGTAGTCCAGAGCTTATCCTATAGCACCATACCACGACTTCCTCCATTAATGATTGTTGTTTCTGTTAAGTGCCCTTGAGTCAGTACCAACTCAAAGAAGCCTGTATAAGGTTTCTGAGGAATGGCTGGTGAGCTTGACCCTCTGACCTTGAGGTTCAAACTGACATTACAGTTCTACGTATTAACCCACAGTGCCAAAACAGGACTCTCCGTTAAGGATAGTGACAGAATAAAAATAGATCAGTGAATAGTCAGTGTTTGAGAAAATAAAACATGAGGGATATTTTCAACTGGTGTCATATCAAATAAAGCCAAGATAGCAAGGAGATGCTGGTAGCAACTATGATTTGACACTTAAGAAAGACAGACTGAAAAATACTCATTAGGAAGTGAAATGGAGCCACTACAAACAAATTCATTTTCAATCATCATTCAACAAAACGGATTGTAAATGATTCATTAGATAAAGTAACCTTTAAACTATCTTTCAAATCGTCCTAATAAAACTTTCAAAATCAAAACAAATGATATTTCTATTTCAAATATACCACCAATTTTACTGAAAATTTAAATATTTAATATTAACATGAACACTTAATAAGAGAAACAAGAATGTATTTTTTTGGCGGGGCACACATCACTCACAAAGTTAGAATTTACCAACTTGCCTGTGATTATGGTCACCCGCATACCACCCTCTGCTAGCTACATACCAGATAAAACAAATAACTCTTACCACTTCTTTTCTCTGGACATTAAGTTTTTCAGTCAATTCTTCCAAAGCCCTTTTTGTTTCAGCATCCGACCTAGGCAAACAAGGGACATATTTTAGAGTGACTATTTGGAAAGATGTATAAGTCACAACATATAAATATGCTTTACACAATACTCTGTTGCATAAATATTCAAGCAAACATCAGAGTCCTTGTGTGGCATTTTAGGGTAACCACTGGACTGCTAACTGCAATGAAGGCAGTTTAAACACACCAGCCACTCGGAATCCGAGAGAATCGCTACGAGTGGGAACCAACTCAATGGCATAACATCAACAACAATAAACATCAGAAACACCCTGAAGTCTTGTTAAAACAGATTACCTGAGCACCACCTCCGATATTACTAAATCTGTAAGTAAGGTTTTTGGTTTTCTTTTTTGGATACAGCACTTGTCTGTCAATTTGTTGTACTGTGGTGGCTTGTGTTACTGTGCTACAGGAGGCTATGCCACCCATCGTGGACACCTTTCAGAGGAGTTTCCAGAGCAAGACAGATTCACAAAAAGAAGAGGCAGACTACTTCTGAAGTAATATGAATAGCAGCGGAACATTGTCAGATATAACACCAGAAGATGAAAACACTATAAATAGCACCAGAACACTGTCAAATATAGTTTCAGAAGATGACACCCTCAAGTAGGAAGGCAGTCAAATTAAGACAAGGTAAGAGCTCCTTCCCCAAAGTATAGTTGACCATGATCACCCAAATAGAGTAAAAGTTTTCAGGAAAGTCAGTTGGTGGTGCGGCACAACTCAAAATGAGAAGTTACAGTTGAAAACATCCATTACCACTCAGAACATGTAATGCACAAAGTATGAACCCGTGAAAACTGTAAGTTATCAAAAATGAAACAGAACACATAAATATCAATATCCTAGGTATTAGTAAGAGGAAATGGATTGGTCGTTTTGAATCTGACAATCATGTGCACTATACTGAAACAAAAAATTGAAAATAATTGGTGTTGCATTCATCATCAAAAATAACATTTCAACTGGACTTCTGGCGCTTCCCTGACTGGGCAGCACAGGTGCACGGGCTCCGGGAAAGGGTATGTGGTATCACATAGGGTAGGCCCCAGCCTGGTAGACAGACAGCCTTTGGGCAAACGTAAGACTTTAGCCTCCAACATTGTGGACTTGCTTTTTGGAAGGGTCAAGCTTCGGGGGAGTTGTAGGCATTTTGGGCCTGCGCTCGGCTCCCGCTCCGGGACTGCGCCCGCCCACTGCAGAGCTTGGATCGTGGGGCTTGAGTGGAACCGTTCAGAGGGCGGGGGCGCCCAGAGAGCTGGCGGAGCCACAAGAACTGTCACGGTCCTTCGTTGGGGAGGGGGGCCTCATTGCCACGGGAGGCGTTGTCGGCATGGATATAGGGCGGGCCGGGTGCCCAAGGTGCAGGGAGACAGAGAGAGGTATTATTTGATGTCGTCAGAAAGGGACACATCTGCCTGCAGCCACTAATCCCGCGCTCCACATCCTCTGCCTAGGGTAGCCCTCTGCCAACCTCCAAGACTCAGGCCCGCCCATCAAGGCACAAGCCAGCACAAGCTGAGACGCTTTGAGGTGTTTTTTTACCACCAGCAACAAGGCAGTCCTGCTGTGGCTCTGCAGGTTATGGGACCAGACTGCAGAGCCTTTTGAACTGCAAGGTTGGTGGTTCAAGGCCACCAGTTGCTCCTTAGAAACCCTATATAGGGTCTTTTGTGTGTGTGTGTGTATATGTGTGTGACTAGAGATTGCCTTATTTAATCTCATTGCTTGTTCTGATGCTGAATTATT